CTGCTGTTTCCTCTGTCTTCACCCCTCTCCTGTATTCCCTCATTCTCCTGCTCCTCATCCTTGTCTCCTTTTTCTTCTTCTCTTTCTTCTTTAGTGCCCTCTTCTCCTTTCCCCCCTCCTCTCTTCCACCTCCTCCGCCTGGACTCTTCTTCCCATCATTGCACGTACCTCTTCCCCTCTTCCACTTCTTCCCCTCCTCCCCCTCCTCCGCTTCCTCTCCTGCTAACTATGTTCCCCCCATCTTCTTCTTACCGTTCATACGAGGCAGACGCTCGCGAACGAAGGGGAGGAATGTGAGGGAAGAAATGGGAAGGGATGGAAGCAAACGGAGCGAGCATAAATTACGGCTTCCGAGAAACGCGTCCGCATCCCTGGACCACATTCGCACTACTTTGGAGTCCGTCGTCGATGGAGCTGTGGAGGCGATGGATCAATAGACCGTTCTAGACTGCAATTGCACGACAGGGCGGCCAGTCGGAGTCCCCCTAGTGCGGGGCGCGCGTTTGACGAGAAGGACCAGCAAGATGAGGAACAACACGAGAAGCAATAATGATAGTAAGAACAATACTAAGTAATAGCCATACTGATAAGCATGTAATAATACGAATATTGATGATCACGCTAGCAACGAGAAGAAAAACAAGCAGACGAAGAGGGACAATTTGGCACGAACATTGGGCCTGCTCCGGGGCCTCCTCCAAGCCTGCCGTGGGCCCCCCCATTGAGAGCCACACCTGAGGCCGGAGTGGTGGGTCTGGCGCAGACGGGTCCGCGGTGACAGGTGCAACAATTTTTGCAATAGGTGGTGCCTGGATGCAATAGTTTGCGCGACGGAGGAAACAATTACGCGTGGATGCAGTCGCGCAAGTTTTTTTTTACCTGCCGCAGTTGTTGCCCGTGCAAAAGTGCGTGCTGCCGCGTCGCAGCTGCGTAGTGCAGCCGCGCAGTGCTGCACGCAGTAGTGCACGATTCAGGAGCGAGTGCACCCCTCGCAGCCGACCCCTCTGCACCAAGCCTATTCTTCCATCGTATCAGGGGCGGCCAAGAAGGGGTGCGTCCAAGAAGGGGGGGGGGCGCAAATCATGGCCGGCGGCACGTGCGCGGCCCAGGAGCGGGGTCAGGAACGCAACGCAAGAAGAGGAGGCGCCATGAAATCTGGGGAGACATTCATGGCCCACGCCATGATATTTCCCCCCCAGTCATCACCCCCCTCTTGGCCGCCCCCGATCTTCAGGGGAACGAAGAGATCCGCGCGGACCTCCGAGTTTTCTGTTTCTGTCATTGTTCGCTCCCCTGATCTTAGAGGTAGGTCGGGCGTGTTCTGCTACAGGCGGTTTTTGGACGAAAAATCAAAAGAATACCCCCCCAAATACTCAAGAATATACCCAATCTAGTCAAAACATCGTCCCCCTATGGCTTTTTGATTTTCTTTTTGGAATATTCCTCCGGCTCGCGGCTGGGCGGCCCAGCTCAAGCGTGCCCGCGCTCGAGCGCTCCCGGGCGGCCCCGCTGCCGCGGCGGCCTCCCGCGCCTCCCGTGGGCGGCAACCTCCGCGGGCGCGCGCGAAAGCGGCCGCCGGCGCGAGCCCACCTCCTCGGGAAGGTGGCCTCGGCCGGGCCGTCGCGACGCGGCCCGCGTCACTGGCCGCCTGGCCGTGAGGGGGAGCGTTGGGGGGGGACGGGCTCCCAGACCCCCTCGCGCTGTGGACAACAAAAATCACGACGGGAGGCTCTTCGCTATTTTCGGCCTCCAGGGGCCCTTCCCCAGCCTCGGGACAATCAAAAAACTACTCAGGATGAAAAACGGGTCCCCAGGGAGGGGTTCGGACTTCTGGGGGTCACGTCGTGGAGAAATCACGACGTCGTGGGCCTGGGCTCAGAAGGGGAAACATTGACCTGGAATCGGCGATACGCATTGCCGAGAAGTCGGCGACAGACCCCAGATAGCGAGCGCGCACTGTCCTGGCAGGTCTGTGCTGGATCGGATGGCGAAATCGGATCGGATCGAGAGCGGATCGAATCGCCAACGAATCGTCCCGAATCGGATCGGTATCGAATCGTCGCGCCTCGCTTCCAGCTGGCCCTTGCCGATGCAGGTGAATAGAGCTGGATCGCATCGAATTGGAATCGCGGCCCCAGCCGGCGAATCGAATCGCGCCGAGTCGGGTCGTCGGCGGTAATGCCTGGGCGGAGTGGGCTATCGGTCCCCCATTGGCCACAAATGGGCGATTGGGGGTCGATGCGTCTCCCCCCTGAGCTTGTCCCCCCCCTAACGTTGCCCCTGAGGGCGGCGCGGTGTTCCGCCGGTCGCAGTGTTGGCGCAAGCGTCCCAGGCCAAGTCTCGAGATCGGAAGAGGAGGAGGAAGAGGAGGAGGAGGAGGAGGAGGAGGAGGAGGAGGAGAAGGAGGAGGAGGAGGAGGAGGAGGAGGAGGGAGGAGGAGGAGGAGGAGGAGGAGGAGGAGGAGGAGGAGGAGGAGAGGAGGAGGAGGAGGAGGAGGAGGAGGAGGAGGAGGAGGAGGAGGGAGGAGGAGGAGGAGGAGGAGGAGGAGGTGAGGAGGAGGAGGAGGAGGAGGAGGAGGAGGAGGAGGAGGAGGAGAGAGGGAGGAGGAGGAGGAGGAGGAGGAGGGGGGTCCGCGGAGACAGCGGCGGCCCTCCCTGGCGCTTCTCGTGCTTTTTCTTGGGCCTCCCTGGCGGGCCTCTCATCGCTGCGGTTGGGTATCCGATATCCGCCGCGAAGAACGGGGTCAGGCTGGACCCCAGAAGGGGGTCCAGGGACTGATCTTGAGCAGCTTTGGGCTGGGCGGAGGAGCTGCCGTTGTCTCACCCAGTCCTCCCCCGAGGAGGGAAAGGGGGCTGCCGGTCGGCCCGTATCATAAGGATGCGCGATTAAGATGCAAGGGCCTTGGGCGCCTATTTCGAAGCTTTTCGAGCGGGGCGCGGCCAACGAAGGTGGCGAAGGATGGACCGAGGAGGCGGGGATGCAAGGGCACCCTTGGGAAGGTTGCCCATCCTTGCTATGCGGGTTGGCTATGCCAGCTCTCAAGAGTGGCTGCAGTCGCCACGCGGCGCACCGATGCGAGGTGCGGCAGGTTCGTGTCGTGTCGACTTCAAGGCTGGTTCATGGACCGTTCGGCCTCAAGCGGTCGCCGCCAGCGCAGATCGCTCGAGGACGGCCGATGCTGAGCCTCCAGTGGTGTTCGGCCTTGAGCGCCCGCGCTGGGGCTGCCGCCGCGTCGACACGACACGAACCCACAGTGCCAGCTGTGGGGTGGCTGCGGTCGCCACGCGTCGTTTTGGGGCGCGCAGAAGGGGGGTAAGGGGGAGGGGGGGAAGGCTTCTTGGAAGGAGGCTGCCTCTTAGAAGGCGCGGGGCCCTACATCTACAGACAAGGCCAGCGCGTTCCGAGAAGCGAAGTGCTTTTAAGAAACCCTCTCCCCTCCCCCCCTGCCCCCCCTGCACGTCGCCACTTCCAAGTCGGCGGCGCAGAGGCTCCTCAGGCGCGGAGGGCAGATGGGAGTGCCGATTGCGATCGAGCGCTGTCGAAGGCACAGTGCGCAAACCGTGCACACTGTCAAATGCAGCTGCACGTCGCCACGCGGCATGACGACGAGCGGTAAGCGTGCACGACCCCCTGGGCGTCCAGGTGGCAGCCCGCCGCGAGGGCACGCTCCGTCGGGCGCGAGGGGGCTGGCCGCCGAGGACGGGCCGAGAAGGCAAGAAGCAAGGGTACGGTGAGGGCACTGGACAGGGATAACAAATCCGGGCTCTGGATACCGTTTTTTTCCGTTGGCGGCGAGGCGGAGGCGGTCCGCACCGGCGAGTGGCGGTGCGGGGCAACCGAATGGCGAACTGGCCAGCGTGCAAGAGAGGGGAGAAGAGACAGACAAGGCGGCCGCAGAGGAAGGGAGGAGGCGGAGGGCACTCAGATGTGGAAGAATTCCACCCCGAGCGCGCTGGCGAGGCCAGCAGTGGCAGCGGGGACCGTGACAGCAGCCGGGCTTCGGCGTGGACACAGGTGGAACTCCAGTCGCAGATCGGCCGTGGATACCACCGCCGCCCTCAGCAAAGAAGGAATCCTCCAGGGTCTGCAGCCTCCTGTGCACATTCCTTAACGGTCGCCCCCACCGTAAGTTCATGCGGCGTGCGGCGTTGCCGCGCGCAGAGGTTTTTGACACCGCGTTGATCGTTCAACCTTTGAACCGATGGCGGCCTCGATCGTTCGAGGTTGAATTCCTTCGGGTCCAGTGGCGTTACTGTGTCCCTCGGTGCGGCCGCGTCACAGACTTCAACCTTGAACGCCTTCACCGACGTCGCTGGCGAGCCAACGCCGAATGAACCTACCGTAGAGGCCTCCCAAGTGGGATCCGAGTAGACGGTGTGGGAAGATCGCGCCGCATCGCTGATGCATCGGAGGTGCATCGGCGACGTCGTGGTGGAGAAAATCGGGCTCCACATCGAGCCGCACCTGCTCGGAACCCCATCTGGCGGGTTCCGCAAACCCTAAGAGAAAAACATTGGCACCGCTCGAAGACCGATGTTTGATCCCGGTTTCTTCCGCCGGCGGAACCGCGCCCGTGTTGCTTCCGCTGGCGTCCGCCACAAGTCCACCGAGGAAGAGATGTCAACTCCTTCGGTCCTCGAAGGCGAGGCCCTTTCTGGGACGCCCCCTGTGGGAGGCCCGGAAGAGGCATCCCTGCAAAACCACCCCACCCTTACGACAGGGCGGCGACCGCACCCGAGCCAGCCGAGGATCGCCGTCGTGTCACGGGCGTCGTGCTGTGGGGCTACAGCATCTTGAATGGGGCGAGGTGGTACAACCAACCAATGGGCTTACATGAGGAGGAGGAGGAGGAGGAAGAAGAGGAGGAGATCAGACGGCGGCCGCCGGTACAAAATAAGCCACAAGCTGCAAATGCCCGCCGCTACTCGGCCCGCCGCTTCTCGGCAGCGGCTGCCTCTCAGAGAGCATCAGGAGAGGCTTCTCTCTGCCTCCTGGCTGCCCTACAGCTCTCCTGAGGCCTGCGACGAAGGCTGAGTCCCTGCACTCTGGCGGGTCCCTCCGCTTTGAGCGGCCAAGGCCCTTACCGCCTTGAGCCACCCGAGCTCCCTCGGGTCCAAGGCCTCGGTCTCGACCTTTTTCCTCTTGCTTGCCGCTTCATACTCTTTCGAGATGCCCTCTGCGACCTGCTTGAACTTGGCCTCGATCGCCTCTATCTCCTCGACCTTTTGCTGGATGAGACCCTCGCGCTTCTCGCCGCCCATCTTGGTGAACTCCTCGATCATCTTCCTCTGCGCGTCGCTGCACGCGCTAGGGTCCACGGGGCCGCACAAGGGCCTCAGATCGGCGACGAACTTCCTGAGATCCTCAAGAGCGCGGCCCCCTTTGTAGTCCTGAAGGTCGTCGGGGTCGCCCCACTTGAGCGTGGGGTACCCTCTGACGCCGACCTCCTGGCACAGCGCGCGCCCGGAAGCGGTGCAGTCCACGTCGGCGATCAGAATCGTGGAGTGGTTCTTGTACTCAGCCCTCAGCGCATCCCAGTCAGGCTTCATGCGCTTACAGTGTCCTCACCTGAGGTCCGTTCCATCGATCCCTCTCCCCACTGGCGTGGTCTGGGCCCCAGCGGCCGATCTACCCCCCCAGATAAGGAGATAGGCTGTTCCCTTCGGGTTTCGAGAGGCCTATCTCCAACCTGGATAGTGGGGTGGTGGGGCTCAGATACAGCGGCACGGTGGGGATGGGGATAGGTTAAACGATACTGATCACCAGGGTGCGTGGAACTTCACAAATACTGTTTTCCCTGCGGTTGCGTCGTCCCAAGTGCTCTTGGTGAGCTCGCCCTCCCTCGGAGGTGTCCACTGGTTGAAGAAGACGTGGGCGCTTCGGCCGATTGTTCGAAGAGTCCGTTTTGTCCAGCTGGGGTATAAATAATAGCAGCCGCCGCCGGCCACTCCGACGACGGCTGCGACGATCGCGGCGACGACGATTGCAAGCGTGTGTCTCCTGGTGCGTTCGGGTCGACTGGCCTGTTTCGGATCCTTCTGTGGAGCCGCCCGCATAGGTCCGGACAGAAAGTGCTGTCGAAAGATCGCGCCGCGTCGCCGACGCATCGGCGAAGTCAGCATGGAGAGAATCGGACTCCGGATCGCGCCGTATTGACCAGTGCATCGTCGATGCGGCGCGACCCTTCGACCCTATCTTGCTCGTTCCAGAAATCCTGGATCTCCAGAACAACTCGGACATCTTGGAACACCTCCCCTGCTCCTGGCAACCTGCAACACCGTTTTTCTTACGTCGGCTTCCGCACACCGGCGATGGTGCGCCGCAGCCGGGTCCCTTTCTGGAGCGCGCCATCCGTTCCGGCTCCATCTGGGCGGCCAGCATTCTTCTCCGTCGCCGGCGCTGGGGATGCCGCCCTGGCCGGCGGCGAGCCTGCCGCCTTCGGCTCGCTGGGCGTCTCCGATCCGCCGCTCGCGGCCGCCGCAGCGAATGGCCTGTCGTCGAGGGCCATTGCTGGGTGCGCGCGCGCGCGCGCGCCCGGCGCGGCGCCCGTCCCTATGCAGTCAGGCCAGCTCCTCCTCCTCCTCCTCCTCCTCCTTCTCCTCCTCCTCCTCCTCCTCCTCCTCCTCCTCCTCCGCTGGGGTCCGAAGGCCGCTCCTGGAAGGCCTTCGTGAGCATTTCGGGGGACGCTTGCGCTGGACTCGGAGGCTGTCCGGCGAAATATTCAGGCGTATCGGGCGGGACAATGCCGAACCCTGAGATCCGATATCGTGATTTTGTCTGTACGGGGTCCCTGGAAGTCTCGACCCATTCCCCAGGACCGGTTTTTCATCCTGAGTCGCTTTTTGACGGTTCCGAAGCTCGGCGACTAGGGGCCGAACTTTGCGAAACAACTCCGTCTTGATTTTTTCAATACGTTGGACCTCTGGGAATTAGGTCGGATTTAGGCTGCCACTGGACTGTGCCGGAAGCGCCAGGGCCGAGGCCTTATTCGACCTCGCAGCGGCTGCAGCCTGACCAGCCCGCCGCCCAAGGAGGCCGCTCCTGAGCCGACGTGGCCAGGGAATGGAGGGACCCAGACCCCCGACGTCGTTTTTTGTTGTTGTTATTGTTTTTGTTTTCGTCGTCGTCGTCGTCGTTGTTGCTGCTGTTGTTGTTGTTGTTGTTGTTGTTGTTGTTGTTGTCATTTTTCATGCAAACGTGCTGAAACAATAATCAGACGTACTCAAACATAGTCAAACAAATCGTGCCCATATTCATGTTTTACAACTCGTTTTGTATATTCCTCCTGTAGAAGGACATGCCCGACTGCTTAACCCTAACGTCGATCGCGACATCCGCGAAATGGTGACCCTCAGAAGTCCGGACCCCTTCCCGGGGACCAGTTCTTCATCCTGACTGGTGTTTTGACGGTCCCGAGGCCCGGGAAGGGCCCTCGGAGCCTGAACATAGCGAGAAACTGCGCGTCGTCTAGGGCTCCCAACTTCGCGCTTCGCGCTCCGCGAAGCGCGAAGCGCGAATAACTTCGCGCTCTCGCGCCGCCCTCCCAAAGGGAGAATAGGAGGACGAGGAGGAGGGGGAGGAGAAACGAGGACCGCGAAGCGCGAAGCGCGAATAACTTCGCGCCCTCGAGGGAGCCCTTGCGTCGTGATGTCCTCGCAGCGCGAGGGGGACTGGGGCGCTTGCAGCAGCGAGAGGGCGAGGCACCCCGGGGCCCGAGGCTCTCGCCTGGGGCCCCGCATCGGGCCGAGATCGGCGCGCTTCCCCCGACGTGAGGTCGGGCGCGTCCGCCTTGCTTTTTGGCGGTCCCGAGGCCCCGGGGGAAAGGGCCCCCCCTGGAGGCCGACGATGGCGAGAAGGCCTCTGGCGTGATCCTTCCGCAGCGCGAGGGGGCCTGGGAACGGCGCACTGGGGGAAGGGGGCGGGGCCCCTGAGATCCGATGTCGTGACTTTTTCCGGACGGGGCCCCCAAACGTCTCGACCCATTCTCCAGGACCAGTTCTTCCTCCCGAGTCGTTTTTGGACGGTCCCCTCTGCCCGGCGAGGGCCCCTATAGGGGCCGAACTTTGCGAAACACCTCCGTCTTGATTTCTTCAGTGCGTTGGATCGCTGGGGCTGGGCAGGGCGGTGCCGCGCCGCGGCTCCTCCCCGGGCCGGAGGGGAGCCGCGGCAGAGGCCTCCGCTTTTTCGGAGGTCCGCGCGCGGAATTCCTGGACCGGCGCACCGGGCTCCCCTGCCCTGGCGCGCGCGGGGGGGCGCCAAGAGCGGCGTCGTAGGCGCCGCCAGGGAGGGGGGAGGCACCGCCTAGGCGCCGCTGCCCCTGCCCTGGCGCCGCGGGGGGGCACCGCGCAGGTCCAGGAAGTCCATGCGGACTTACAGAAATTCGTATATGTGTGTGTGTGTGTGTGTGTGTGTGTGTGTGTGCGCCCGGCGAAGTTAGTTGTGTGCGCGCGTTGCGCTGCTTGCGCTGGGCTTTCTGCGCCCTGTCGCCGCGCGCGACGCCCCAACGCCACATGTACACATAGATGTGTGTATCTATGTATGTCTCTGGTGTGTGTGTGCGTGTGCGTGTGCGTGTGCGTGTGCGTGTGCGTGTGTGTGTGTGTGTGTGTGTGTGTGTGTGTGTGTGTGTGTGTGCGTGTGTGCGTGTGCGTGTGCGTGTGCGTGTGCGTGTGCGTGTGCGTGTGCGTGTGCGTGTGCGTGTGCGTGTGCGTGTGCGTGTGTGTGTGTGTGTGTGTGTGTGTGTGTGTGTGTGTGTGTGTGTGTGTGTGTGTGTGTGTGTGTGTGTGTGCGTGTGTGTGTGTGTGTGTGTGTGTGTGTGTGTGTGTGTGTGTGTGTGTGTGTGTGTGTGTGTGTGTGTGTGTGTGTGTGTGTGTGTGTGTGTGTGTGTGTGTGCGTGTGTGTGTGTGTGTGTGTGTGTGTGTGTGTGTGTGTGTGTGCGTGCGTGCGTGCGTGCGTGCGTGTGTGTGTGTGTGTGTTTGTGTGTGCGCGTGCAACTCTTCTTCTTCTGCGAGGCGCGCAACAGCATCCTGCAGCAGTGGTCGTACCCGCGGCTCATGCAAAGGAGATCGACCAACACCATGGCGCCGAGACCGGGAGGCGGCGCTTCTTGGGGCTGGAGCCGGCGCGGCGCGCAGGTGCAGCGCGCGACAGCCACCGCCTCTCCAACCTCCTCGCTCGCCGAGCTCGGGGCGGCGAGCAGGCAAGCCGCGAGAGGAACGGAGACAAAAAGTATCCCCCGGGTCGCGGTCGGGCCTGTCCCTCTACAGGAGGGATATCGAAAAATAGTCACAATATAGTCAGGGGGACATTTTGAGCATTTTCTGACCATGGGGGGGCTTCTTTAGATTTTTTTTTTGGATGCCCGAAATGGGTACGGAAAGAATGGGCACAATGCCCAACAACAAATGTTGTCCCGAACGAACAGCGGCCGCTGTTGGGCAGGCGGCCTTCTGTCTCAAATGAACACAGGCCGCGGCGGCGTGGACAGCGAAGCCTGTTCAAAATGAACAAGAACTGCTGTTGGGCACTGTACCCATTCTTTCCGTGCCCATGTCCAGCGTCCAAATTCTATTTCTCTCCCAAAATCCCCCTGTAGGAGGACAGGCCCGACTTACGGAAGCGGGCAGGCGCCCCCCGCGCGCCTCTGGCGATCTGCAGGGGCGCGGCCGGCGCGCCCCTCGGGAGGGCTCTGCGCTTCCCCCGGCAGGGGCGGCGAGCCCCGCCGGGGCCCGCCGGCGAGGCGCCCCCCCCCCCCCCCCAAGCTGGAGGTAGGGGAACAAAAAGTGACACAAACATAACAACTCGGAGGCCCGCGCGGACCCCTGAGGCCCCCTGGCGGCGCCTCCGGCGCCGCCGCCCCTGGCGCGCTGCGCGCGCCAGGGAGGGGGGTCCAGCGCCGATCCGAGAAATCCGCGCGGACCTCCGAGTTGTTATGCTTATGTCGTTTTTCGTTCCCCGATTCCCCCGGCAGGGGCGGCGAGCCCTGCTGGGGCTCCGCCGGCGAGGCGCCCCCCCCAAGCTGGAGGAGCCGAGCGCCAACGGGGCCGTGCTGAGACCGAGGCTGGGGCCGGCCATCGCTGGGGCGTCCATGCCCTGTGCTTTTCTCGGCTTCGCGCGTGTTTTTTTTCTCTCGCCAGGTGATCAGGGATGCTCCTCGGTGGTCCTCGCCCAGAGAAAAGGCACACGTCCGAGCGATGCCGGGGGGGGGAGGGGCAGCGGGCCGTTGCAAGAGCGGCAGGACGCGTCTCCAGCGGGGGCGCTGGCACGGGCCCGCCGTCGCCACGCCCCACTGCCCAGCAGAGGGGGCCCGGGCGGCATCTGAGGGGGTAAAGAGCAGGGTCCTAGGTCTCGGCGGCGAGCGACGGGGAAGAGTGAGGAGCAGAGGGCCTTCGCAGCAGGCGGCGGGACCTCTCCGAGGCCCTCACGCCTTCTGAGAGGGTGCAGAAGACTTGTCGGAAGGCTCGGGGGCTTCCGAGCATTCTGAGAAGGCCCGCCCCTTCTCACTTCCACCCCTCGTTCGCCGCCGAAACTCCACCAAATGAAGCAAGGTGGGGGTGGTTGTGCGTCCGCAGCCTCTTACGCGCAGTTGAAGCCGAGCCCATTCAAGGTCCCTTGGGTGAGACGCATCAGGATTTACTAGTACTGATTGCCTCTGTTGGAGAAGCATGCCCAATCCGAACATACAGTAGAGAATGCGGTAGTATATCGTTTCCAGAGCGGTACGGCCAGAAAACGCACGCCACGGAGCTGATACTGTAAGATTTCCGAGAGTGCGCGTGGCCCTCGCGTGGCCGACGCGCTGGTAATAAAAGTATGTTTTGGCGGTATGTAGAGCTCTGCGTGGAATTCTTCCGCATCCGAGTGCCCTCCGCCTCCTCCTGTCCTTCGCGGCCGCCCCGTCTGTCTGGTCCCCTTTCTCCTGCATGAAGGCCAATGCGCGTTTCGGTCGCCCCGATCGCCCATCGCTGGTGCAGCTCTTCTGCATCGCCACCGACGAACATTTTTTTGGCGGTATCGATTTGGCCATTGGAAATTTCCTGGGAGGCCCCGCTGCATCGGCGTGGTGGCGCACTGCCAGCACCCGGGGCAACAAAGGAGGGGGGAGCCGTGCTCCACCGCCCAGCCCGCTCCCAGAGGGGGTGACGGGAGGAGGAGGAGGAGGAGGAGGAGGAGGAGGAGGAGGAGGAGGAGGAGGAGGAGGAGGAGGAGGAGGAGGAGGATAGGAGGAGGGCGGAGGAGGAATAGGAGGAGGAGGCGGAGGAGGAATAGGAGGAGGAGGAGGAGGAGGAGGAGGAGGAGGAGGAGGAGGAGGAGGAGGAGGAGGAGGAGGAGGAGGAGGAGGAGGAGGACCTCTGAGACTCACTCAGAGGCCCCTGAGACCCCACGAACCCTCATCGTACGAGCTACCATGCCCTTCTCGGGAGTCCGCGCGTTAGTCTTGCCCCTTCTCCTTCTCCCTCTCTGTTCGGGCTTCCCCCTCCCCACTCCCTCCTCCACTCCCTCCTTCTC